AAAAACTGTTCCAATGGGTCGAGCAGAGAAAATGTTTCTGTTGTTCTTTACATCTGTGATTTTGTCAGTTCTACAGTACTGCAATACTACCTGGTACAAGTGTTTTTCAACAGCTTTCAAATCACAACTGCTCCACTTGTTAAAAATGTGCTCAAAGATTGTTGGTCAACCCTGTCAGAGACTTCATGACTCAGCATACCACAATAACCTCGTGAGGCTGTCCAACAACATCCTCTGGGACCCAAAGCATGTTCTGAACAGAGAATATGAACTGCTACCATCTAATGGAGATTCAATCAAGTCAGACTGAAGCATCCTTTGTGCTCTGGTCAGTCCTCACAGTAAATACAGAGCTGAATCCCAGATCGGATGCACGCTAAAGGCTCTTTAAGCAGCTTTTCTCTCACTGATTGTGCTGTTGTGTTGAATGTTTGTTGTTTGTTTTATTGTGTCTTGAGATGTTCATGTTACACATGGAGCTGCTGTGATGCAACTCAAATTTCAGACTTGATCTGACCATTCAAGTAATATCGAATCTTATCTTACGGTACTTAAAATATATTTTGATGGTAATACTTTTGTACTTTTCTTAACTCACATTTTGAATGCCGGACTTATTTTCTAACCGAGTATTCTTACACAGTGGTATTATTACTTTTACTTAGGTAAAAGTCCCGAGTAATTATTCCACGTCTGTTTAAAGGGTTTGTTTTTAACCTCAATTTCTTGTCATCTTTTCAGGAGCCACTGCCTCTGTGATGGATCTTGAAAACTGTCTGAAAAACATTCTGAAGGACAAATTTCAGAAAGTGAAAGAAGCTGAAAACTCGTTACTTCCTTCAAGACTTTGCTATCGTGAGCTCAAGCAGGAACACGAACAATTTCATACTAATTTGTTACAGAATGAGTTTAGATTTATTGACAAGTCCGATCTTCACACTTGGGTTGTTTATCCAACCGTCCCGCTCTCTGAGATTTTATTGTGCGACTGCCAACACAACAGCAGCCAAAGAACGGTCCTCACTGTAGGCGTGTGTGGCGTTGGAAAAACCACAACAGTGCAGAGATGTGCTCTGGAGTGGGCCGAGGGCAAAGCGTGCCAGGACGTCCATCTCCTGTTTCCTCTCACCTTCTGGGAGTTAAATTTGCTCGAACACGAACTGACCCTAATTGAACTTCTCCTGACGTTTTTCCCTGACCTGAAGGAGCTTGACAGTGTCAGCCTGAGGAATAGCAGTGTGTGCTTTGTCCTTGATGCGCTGGATGAGTATCATGGCACATTGGACTTTCAATGTCCAACTGTGAGAGATGTTTCTGAGTTATCTACAGTAGAAAATCTTTTGACTAATCTCATCAGGGGGGATTTACTTCCCCTTGCTCATATATGGATAACAACTAGATTTGCAGCGGCAACACAAATCCCTGATTGTTTTTTGCTTAAAGAGACCGAGGTTCAAGGGTTCAATGATGAACAGCAGGAGGAGCACCTCAGGGCACTCGTCGGTGATGACAATTTGGCCGACAAAGTCATCAACCACGTGAAAATATCAAGGAGTCTGGACTTCCTTTGTCAGGTACCCACAATCTGCACCATCATGGCAAATGTGTTGAAGGATCATCTAAAACCAGATGATGGATTTAAAATCCACCCCCTGAGTTTAACCCAGATGTACACAAATCTGGTCAAAGCATCAAACCCAGAAACGGTTGCCAAGCTGAAAATGCTGGCAAAGCTTTGGATGGGAGAATGTGAGGTATTCTATGATTATCATCTTTCAGAAATTGACCTAAGTGTTGAGGAAGCGTCAACTTTCTCCAAAGAGTGTCCTCTTGTGTTGAAAGAAGAAAATGGGCTTCATAACAGCACCGTGTTTCGCTTTGGTCACTCCAGCATTCTGGAGTTCTTTGCAGCGTCTGCTGAATTGGACAATATTGAAACAAGATTTGACACGTCGAGACTTTGTAAGTGTCTGGTGGACACGGCACTGGAGAGTTCTATGGGAAAAACAGATGTCTTCCTTCGCTTCATCTTTGGTCTCCTTAGGGAGCGCGGCACGTTGGAGCCGCATGATCCGCTGTTCTTCTACACCAAGAAGCTGATCCTGGAATACATTCTGTCCTACAAGGCTGTGGGTCTGTTCCACTGTCTGAGGGAGTACGACAACCAGGCTTTACTGGATGAAGTTAAGTTTTTCCTGAAGTATCGCTTCTCTCCCATTTCTGATTTCTCACAAATGCATTGGACCATCATGTTGCAGCGGACCAGCAATTTTGAAGGGATAAGAGACAGTTTTGAGATGCCAGTGTCCGCGAGATGTGATGAGAAACTCATCAGGCAGCTAGCAGCTATTTTCAAATCCAAGAAAGCCATGTAAGTCTATAATGTATATACATTCCATACATGCTCTGTTTGCTAACTGTGACTTCAGAGTTAGTTTTTGAGGCCCTATTATGTGTTTTCCCGTTCCTGTAGTGTGCTATACTGGTCTTTGTGCATGTAAATGGTCTGCAAAGGTTAACATTCCACACTTCCCTCCAGAGGGAGTTTTGTGCTGCTTCATCATCCTTTCATTTGACTGCATTTCCATCCACGTAAAGTCAATACTGTGCAATACAACATTTGGGACTTAGTATAGAAGTGCAGTTATTCCCACACGTTGCACCTAAATCTACACGTTAACTTTATATTCAATGTTTCATTTATATCTTCATTTAGTTTAGATGTCCTCTGATATGGTACTGTATAATAATAATAAATAATGTTTATTAAAGGATAAGGCTGTCTCTGATCCTATCCCATCTTATTGCAGGCTGCGATTCTCCAACCTGACAGACAAGTGTTGTCCGGCCTTGGCATCCATCCTGAGCACAAAGGAGTCTTACCTGAGGGAGCTGGACCTGGGGTTTAACAGCATCAGGGATGAAGGAGTCAGGGAGCTGGTGGAGGGGCTGAGCGATGAAAACTGCAGGCTGAAGACCATCAGGCTGCAAGGCTGCGGATTGACCGGGCACTCCTGTGAAGACCTGGCCCTGGTCCTGAGACGGTCCTGGAAACTGCGAGAGTTGGACCTCAGCATGAACGAGATAGGAGATGACGGAGTGAGATATCTTGCAGATGGTTTGAGATCTCCTGAATGCCAGTTGGAAACGCTCAGGTAAGTGTTGGCAAATGAACGTAGCTGTCCAGACGCTTCTCTTCATATGAAATTTATAGTGAAAATGAACATTTAGTAAAACATCTCTTATAACAAGCCTAACATGTTTATTTGCTCACAAAATTACAGAGAGAACCATTTGTTTTTTTAAACTACGACAATTCGTTGATTAGTTTTGGTAATTAATGGTAAAAAAGAAATGTATGCATAAAAATGCTGTTCCCAGACTCTCAAATTTCAAAATCTCCTGCTTTTCTTAGTTGGATAACATATTTAAATCAAACATCTAATGACATCACCAACTGGGATGGACATTTCTTGCTATTTTCCATGAAACTAATTCATGGCTTCAGCCCTATTTGTTACAGGTTACAAAAAAGATTGTATCAAAATGATTAGGGTTGTCCCGAATAAAAATGGCTCTGACTTTTATGTATATTTGACGAAGCATTTTTAATTTACAAGACACTGTTCAACACTTCATTCTGCTTCACTCTTTAACTAAAGATTTTTGAAGACATCCGCGTTCTTGCGACTCGTAAATACTACGCTTCCTA